AACCCAAAAACAGTATCCCTCGGATTGTGGTTGTTTTCGGCACTACAAAGATGACTGAACAAGCAAAGGGGCCTCTTGCTTCTGGCAGCTGTTGACAGAACTCTTCCCAAGTTGGAATACACTGCTCATCCTCATGAATTTAGTGGTTTGAGACTGGCTCGCGCCGTCGTTGACGGTGTTGTCGTCGGTGAGGTTGCTTTTGGGGGAGCTGGCTGCAGCGTAGAAGTGACACTACAGTGGAGCACCCGGCCGGCGGAGCCACAGTGGTTTGAGACTTGACCTGGCCCGATTGACAGTCGCCCTGCTGGGGCGTCGATGGAAGGATACAACTCATTTCGCATGGAAGCTGGCAAATGATGTCACAAGTCTCATTTCATTGTAAGGCGACTTCAAGTCCGCATGCAATATGTTCCAGCCTGCGTTGGCTGCTGCTTGGATGGCCCCTTGCTGCTGCCAGTCTTGAGGAAGTTACCGTCCTTGCTTCTCTTCAGGGTGAGAAGCCCTTGTGCTGTTCCCCCGTTTCTCACCATGGTTTCCCGGCGTCGGGAAAGGTCAACGACTTTATTGTCTAACCAACATGTACACTCGATCAACAGTTACGCTTCAAGCAACTGCTTCTTGTAACTCCGAGTCGCAGGCTGCGGTACGAAAGGAATTTCAACGTGGCACGGCTGTCGTTGTCAAACCCTTTGCGAGCAAAATATGTGACTTGGCGAAGTGTTGACAAGAATGTGAAAGCCTCTGCGGCAGCACTGGTAGAACAAAACTCAGGCAAAGGGGTTTTTCAGGACACTCAATGATTCTGTGTTGCTGAAGCCTTCTGGTCATGACCCAACTGAGTTTTGACCATGCAGGTCGCGCTGTATATACTGCTGATACTAAAGTAGCGCAAAGCAAGACGCAATAACACTATACTGAGCCAGGCAACAATCAAACCAACACTGAACCATACCAAACCAGGCTGAACCAGCACCAGCGCAAACCAGCACTAGACCGATGATCAGCCAGTACTAGTTCAGGCAGCATTGCTAAACCAACATTAGCTAAGCAATGCGCGAGCAACCCCTGAAGTTGCCAGCCCCAGTTCATGCCCCCCATTATCAAAATCACCCGGCCAAAAGACGCACTCGACGCATTCGGTCTTGGTAGGGTGTATGGGAATGCCCGCCATTCGTTTGGGAACTGGTGGGGCCCTGTGACTGAAGAGGCGGCGGCATCAAAGAGAACCCAATAACTTTGGGAATCAAAGGGGGGTCACTCACTCTTCTTTGCGCTGTTTGGCTGGCGTCCTCTTGGGCATCATCAAAACATGGGTTGGTTGCCCCCAGTTTGTTCGCTGTGCGGAGCGGCGCAGACTCTGGAAAAGCCACGGTCTGCTCGAGCCGGCTTTGGGGGATGCACCGCTCGTAGTTGTCACCGCGCAGCACCAGGCTCCCTCAGCTGGGCTTTCCGGTTGCATGCGCCGCAGAGGGGCTGGAACTGCAACAACATCCCAAGGTCGAAAAGAAGGCCCCTCCCCAAACCTGCAAAATACAAAATCCGCAGCAACAGCCCGGAAACCACCCCACCCGCCAAGCGAAACCCTCCAAAACCCTGCCCGGCATCCCAAGATTGCAGGATCGCACCCTTCACTGCCATTGTTGACCACAAGCTGCTTCGCCGAACAATTTCCATCCCAATCAGCACGCCCCTACCCAAAAAATGTTTTACGAGAGCGCTCGCAGAGCACGAGCCAACTTGCACGCGAGACATCTTGCGCGAGACATGCGTACGGAAATTAAAATATAGCCTTTTAAGGCGGCCGGGTGTGGACTTTTTGTGATTTTTGCGGTTTGCACGCGGGGATCGGTGTGGGCAATGCGCAAAAACCGTGAGGACTTTGTGTGATTTCTGCAGTGCGCGGCCGGCCCTCTGCGGGGATCGGCGTGGTCGATGTGCAGAGTTGAGGGGCCTCTGCGGGGATCAACAGGATCAATCGCGCGAAACGCTAGTAAACAGCTACCTTTTCTAGTTGGAACGCGGGCTTGGAAAGTTTGTCTCGTGGTTCCTGGTGAATCACAACCTTCAAGTACGAAAATAGCACGCGGAGTTGACTTTCGCAGCTACGGCTGGAAACTCAAAATTGAAGTGCGAAAGTAGTACGCGAAGAACACTTCAGAAGAGTCCGGATGGCAGATCGCAACTTTTAACTATGAAAGTAGTACTTTCACAGGTCCGGACCAACAATTGAATTGGACTCACCTCGAAAGGTTGCCGTGTTCTGGCCAGCGACGCAGGCAAAGAACTTGCTCAGAGAAACTTGTTGCGAGCTTGCGCAGCACAGAGCGCTTGCACGCCGCAACTTGCACAGAACTCTTGCGCACGCAGCAACTTGCACAGACCGCTTGGGCCGATCACTTGCGCAGAGAAGCACGCGCACACACGCGCGACACCGAAGCTTAGAAGCTGAGTGTAGCGGGTACCAAAACGAGAAACATGATGATTCGTGGTTGGTGCAAGTTCTTGCCTTGTGGCTTTGAGGCTTCTTAGGCTTGCAGATTGATGACGAAGTGTTTCCTTACAGTTTCTGCGTGAGGGGATTGAACTTGGCAAGCTTTGCAGGTCTCCACGCTAGCACCACGGGCGATACAAACCTGCAGCTGCCACTTGCCCATGAAAAGGGAAGCAAACACACATGAAACCAACGCTCACTTTCTATGCTTTCGGGCCACCCGTGGTTCCAGCTCAAAACCCCTAAAGCTAAGACGCTCAGGACCGGCTCCGTTTCCATCACCGTGATGCGATACTCCAGCACCTCACTCAGTGTGCCCACAGACAAGGCGATGATGGTGGGGTAGGTCGCATTGAGGCGCCTGGGAAAACAGGGGAGTTTGTGTCAAAGTTAGGCAATGCGCAACAATTGGGGTGGAACCTCCAGGGAAGCAGAAAGGCCGCCATGTCCGAGTCCTCATCTTGACCATGGCCGCACCGAAGCAAAACATGTCGGAAAGAGATTGTAAATTTGGACTTCCCATACCGACAACCATAGGAAACTTGCAAAGCATGTGTGGGTGGCAGAAAGTCTCACGGTGCGCCACACACAGGGTTGGGGTCTGCAAGAAAATGAGGACGCGAAGAAGAATGAGGACGCCAATAAATTTATATACATGAGAACTTCAAGGGTATGAGCCACCCAAACAAGCTTATTGTCTCATGAAATGACATCTTCGGGCCGGAGCATTCACATATGTCAGCGTTCATATTTACACATGGCACCACAAACTTCCAATTTGGATTCCTCAACGGGATGCGCCCAAATTTGGGATACCCAATTTGGGGGCACCAAAGGGTGCCCATAAATGTAGGATCTCAAATTTGGGCTCACGAGTAAATGAACTCGAGTTTGCGTGTTGGCCACCAACTCATGCTTCCAAAATTTGGCTCGTCTGTAGGATCAGTTCTACCATCAGTGGGCCCTTGAGGAGGAGACCAAGTTGACAACCTGTCACAAAACTCAAGCTTGGATGAATGGTTGCGTCGTTGTCAAAAAACCCGACAACAAATGTCGCAACTCTCCCGTCTTGGCAGTAGCGCCTTTTGGCCGTATTTTTTCAAAAGGGGGGGGGGGCGGGTCCAGCCTTGAGCCCCTAACAGCCATCAGGGGTGTGGGTCTAGTTGGCAGTGTTGCGACATGCAAAAAATTGTCAGAATAGGAGAGCCTTAGGAGGGCCCTGCCAAAACGAGCTTTCCTTCGATGTGAACCTAAAGAAGCGCATCCGTTTCAATCCATTTCCATAAGGATGGCACCAAACAATCCGACCCGCTTGTGTCTCCAAAGGCAACCTCCGAAACCCTAGCCCAGAGCTGCTCGGAACCACTGAGCCTCCCTGGCAAAGACAAAAGCTGTCAGCTTTGACCATTGACGGTTTACATGCGCTGGCCTGTGCTGAAACAGGTGGAATCCATCTTCTTCCAGCAGGCCATTGTGTGTCTTTTCTCTGGCCCAAGGAGCTAGGTCATGGCAAAAAACTTGATTTCATGCAGGATTGGTTGGCCGTTGTGAAGAAGGCTGATTTATCCGCCGAGAAAATGAAACTGTCTACTTTTGTGGCCTAGAAGTCGAGAGAGAGAGAGAGAGAAACAAAGAAAGAAAGAGAGAAAGAGAGAAAGAGGGAAAGAGAGAAAGAGAAAGAAAGAAAGAAAGACAGACAGAAACAAAGAAAGAAAGAACGAAAGAAAGAAAGAAAGAAAAGAGAGAGAGAGAGAGAGAAACAATGTACATGTGGTGTGGTACTACATAGCTTGTACATGACCGCAGGTTTGTGTTCGCAACATAACAGCACTTGCACTTGTAGTAAACAACAGCTTGATTTTAGCGTGGTAGCTGAGCTGAGATCCTAAACATAGGGGAGCTCCAGTACACAGCAGTAAGTACAACCTGCAAAGGCAATCACATGCCAAACTACTACGACCAGGAGAACCAGAGACAGCAGGAGCCACGACTACAAGGACAGAAACAACACAGGAGCAGGACAACGACGTCTAAAGACAGTACACACAGCCTACACAGGTACAAACTGCCACCACCGTTCTTCACTAATAACTACTCCGAGTACGCAGAACGGTGCAACCAACCAAAGCACAAAAGACTTCAAAAAGCACTACAAGCAGATCAACGGAAGAAGCAGCCAAACCAAAACCACTACAGCAAAGAACCAACGCAGTAACACTTTCCAACGGAACATCCGTCACCTCCTACACAAACAACGATACTGCAGAAGACCAGCCCATAATCTTCGACAACGAAGGTTATGACGAGATACAATTACGTGAAGGAATGAAACACGAATCCAACCAAATGAACAGTTCTACATGACGACTGCGACGAAGTAGATGCTTCTACACTCAATGACGACATCATCAGGGAAGCAATCCCTACAAGATGGGCCCATGGAAAGAAAGGACCAGGCGTGCCAAGCAGGATGGTCGCAAAAGGCTACACCGAGAAGATGTAAAAATTAGAACGCTGTCTACGTTTCTACGCCAATGTTCACGACACTACGGACACTCCTCGCACTACAGATGTCACGACCAAACTGGGTAGGGTGATTGAGCGACGTCTCTACAGCGTTTCTACCCGCACCCATCGCAAAGGACAACGCGAAGGTAAACAATGTGACATCTAAGGAACCCACAACAGGACAAACTATGGCGGTTAAAGAAAGCCAGGAAACTACCTGGCTGGTTCAGCGGATGTTCATCGACCCACTTCGAACCACTATGCCCGTGAATCCGGTGAAGGGCTACAACCATTGGAAGGCATGAAAGTCCTACAGAGGAACTACTTTCGAAAGCGCTCGACATGAAGTTCTTCTTGATCTACACCAACCTCGCCACTCAGTTTGACTACTGAGCCTGAACAGTAGGCGACTTGGCACATACTAAAGTAGCATTGATGAACAGCAATGCTTTCATCACCTGTGAATCTCCTTTGCAAGACCATTACAACTGAGGGGCCGTGTCAATGTACCTGTGGTGCGGTACTACATAGCTTGTACCACAGGCCTTGAGCTCATTCCTATATAGCCAATGCAAAATAGGAGCTGCGCAGGCTACAGGTTTGACTGTTTGTGTTTTCAGTTTGAATTTAACGAACGAGAGAGAGAGAGAGAGAGAGAGAGAGATTTCACGGTGTCCTGCCTGAGGGGCACGTAGTAGCTCAGCGTGCCAGACACGGACGTCTCCTTTTGCGTCTCCCGCAGGGCACCGCTGATGATCAATGCAGAGATGTGGCCTCTACAAGAAACTTCAGCAATAACCGAGCCAACCTGGTCCCAGACCCTTTTGAGGATCCGCGTTTTGTTTTCCAACTGGATTCAGGGCACATGGCTGGCACCCCTAGCAGACGACCAACTCAGTTGTTTTGGGCTGGAAGGGGCGAACACAAAAAGCACTTGAAAAACACACGGGAAACTTGAGTAGGGACCACTTGCTTTGTTTGTGCCGTGGACAAACCACACACACACTTAATTTGGGCTGTCCCTTTGGCATGCGCTCGCTGGACCTTTAAGATATTCCGCGCTGCACGCTTCTGTTTTGCTTGACGGCCCTTCCCATGCAAAATATTCAAAGTGAAAGAATACATGCGATGGTTCCTGACCAATATCGGATAATATGTCTATAGTCCAATCATTCAAGAGAGAATCAGATGAGCAAGGAAATGATAAGGCAAGCCAAGAGCTAAATATTCATGCGAAGGTTTAGAAAACAAGTACTTGCACATAAGCAGGGGGGTGAAGGACGAGAGACCCCGCCTATCCTGTCCATCCCGTTACATTCCAAGCTACGAGAAAGTGCTAACTTTGCATGGTCCGCTATGAAGAATTTGATAATTTTATTTGTTGTCTGACTCTTTCAATAAGTCTTAGACATGGGCTACTATGTGGTATGCTAGGTGAGTGTTTTAGGAAATTGGGGGAACACCGGGTTTGTGTTAAATGGGTTTCCTGTGCGACCCTTTCATGTCTCAGGCCCCCTGATGTAAAGGCTCCGCCAGATAAATAAACTTATTTGCGCTGCCGCGTCCTCTGAAGAGCTCTTGCCTCCAAGAGAAGAGTCTGGCTTCTCTTGAGTTCTCCTTTTTTGGTTACGTAAAAAAGACCAACAAAACACCAGCATGTTTGGCGGTCCTATGTTGAGACAACCTTGAAGGGCTCCACCTATCCTTTCCATCCCTTTGCATTCCAAGCTAGGGGCCGAGAAAATGCTAATTTCGCAGGGTCCGACATGAAGAACTTGATGCCTTGCCATCAGGACGGCACATAATTCTAGAATTTGGACATGATGTGTGTCTGCTCATTGCGTTTTACCTTGCAATCAGGAACTACATATGGGAGATAAAAGATTAGAGACAAAACAAGTTTCACTAGTAGATGATGGTTGTAAGAGAAATAGCTATACGAAAACAAGACAGACCTTTCTATAAAAGAATGACATGCATACTGAACGCATATAATTTAACACGAAAAATGATATGTGAAACAAATAAAGTCAATGTGTAACAAATTGAGCTTCATTCTATGGAGTCAGATAACAAAAGAGAAAGAAATGGGGCATGAAGGGGAAACAAAGGGAAATGAAAGACAGTGACGAGAATATCAAAGGACACAGAAGGAGATGTAAGGAAATGACTATGACTGGCAATGCAAGGAACATACAAAAATAAATGAGGCGTACGCAGCAAAGAAGGGGAAACTACAGGAACCAAGGGTAAGGAGACAATGCAGGGGTCATGAAGGGGAGGTGCACGCAAATCAAGGCAACAAGGGACCTGCGACCAGTACTGAAAGGGAATGAAGGGACGAAGGGGAAATAAACGGACACGAAGGGTAAGGAAATTGTTGGAACTGAAGCGGGCGTGTGTGGGAACTGAAGCAGAAATCAAAGTTGGGGGGGGACGGGGGAAGACAGGGAAAGGAGGGGGGGGAAGGGGATTGCAGGGAAGGAAGGAAGAGAGAGAGAGAGAGAGAGAGAGAGAGAGAGAGAGCGAGAGAGAGAGAGAGAGAGAGAGGGAGGGAGAGAGAGAGAGCGAGAGAGAGAGGGAGGGAGAGAGAGAGGGAGAGAGAGAGAGAGGTTCAGACAGAGAATGAAGGAAACATAATAAAAGGGGAGGGGCATGAACAACAACATGGAAAGGACAAGCTCAGATGATGATGATGATGATGACATGTTGATGATAATAGAAACGATAATGAGAATGATGGTGAACATGATGATGAAGATGATGATGAGTATCGCAATGATGATGAACATGATGATGACGATCATCATCATCCCCCATTTTCATCATCATCTTCATCATCATAGCCCATCATCATCACCATCATTTTCATCATCATTGTCACCATCCCTTCCATCATCATCATGATGCTCTGCATGTTCATGATATATTGGTTGGAATAATTGGAGAAGAAAAAATGAAATATCCAAGGGGGGGAGGTCCCAGAACCACAAGACTGAGGAAAGTCTACAAGAAGACAACAAGTCGATAAGTCAAATAATTGGACAACATTCTAGACCGCAAGACTGAGGAAAGAGTGCAGGAAGGTTAACAACTGCAAAAGTTAAAAACAAAACCTTGATTAGATTTAGGGAGGTAGATTGACAAACCCGCCCGGTGATATAGCATTTTTCATTCCTCTTACCCAGCCCCCCCCCCCCCCCCCCGCAAAGGTTGGAACTTCACGCGCTGGCGAGTTGCTTGTCTTGTCGGGGTTGGCGGCCGCGGCAAGCGTGATGCTCTTCCTGAGATATGGGCCACCCGCCCAACGTCAAAGCGCAAGTGGGAACTCACCTGAAATAAGCCGAGAAAAGTCTTCAATAATTGATGGACCCGGGGTTTCGCTAGGTTTGCTCAACCCATTCATCAAAGATGCCTGACACCGTTCGATGCCTGACACCGTTCGTGAGCCTGTTAGTCTCTTAGTCCCTGCGTCGTGTCTCCGCATCTCAAAGTGGGTCGGCAGGCTGGGCTCTATTTTGACATCACTACGGGCTGATTTGTTAATGACGTTTACAGAAAAAGACAACACCCCCACCTGGTGCCGTGGCCAACGCCAGTGGCACCACTTAGCAAGAGCCATTTAGCTCAAGCCCTTTACTCAAGCTAATGAGTTCTGCGCAACGCAAAAGATTCTGACTTGATCCAACAACCCTTGGGCGCAGCTGCAAGCATCTGGCGTGGAGCAACAGAATTGCAGACGTAGCGCAGGTGGGCTTGTTGCGCGAGCTACCCTATGCTCGCACTTAGTCCCTCACTGTCACGCGCAGCGACGTCCAATTTTCATGCGCTTTATTGATCTGAAGTGCCCGCAACAAGACAAACCGGAAAACTCCAGCAAAATACCTGTGTTCTACTTGAGCGCCAAGGACATGCTCCAGGAAAATTGGTGCAGAACAAGGCGCTTTGCATACCTCCGGATAAGCTCGGCCACGATTGGACAAATTCCGCAAACCCCTCGCCGCTCACAAATTTGATTTACCTCTGTGCCTCTGACAATCGCTTCCTGAGAGTGTTTGGGCTCTTGCCTTCTTTGACCACGAGGATGGAGGGACGCCTGTCAACTCAAACATCGCGCCAACGGCAGAAGCATCAGGACAAGCCATAGATGAGATCAAGTTGAGTCACGGTGTCTCCCGTTCCTCTTGTGCCAGCATTCGCCTCTTGCAGCTGGGCGTGTTGTTCTGCTTTCCTCTTCCTTTTCGTCCTTGCTGCCCTTGCGACCCCGCTTTAAAGTTCATAAAGTGGTGGTGTCTTTGAAGAGCGGGTTCACGTGGATCCTCATTTCTGGGGGCAGCAGCGCCTCAGGCACGAAGCGGAAAAACATATTGTAGCCGCTGTAGCTAGCAAGCTGCTCTTGCTGATACAGGAGCTGGTATGCCATCTCGCCGTTGGACTTGGCCACGCATCTTTGCATGCCAAATGCAACCCTAGGGAGCAAGCTCAAAGCGCGAGCTTGTGTCTGTTCCCGCGAATCTTGCCCAGCTGGCTTTACTACAGGCCACGCACAGCCACATTGGTGGAGGGCACTACGCGTTCAGCGTTCCTTCCTTTGGGCTTTCTGTTTCCAAGTGTTTTGTTGTAAGTCTCATGCGCTGTGGCCATTTTATGTCTCCTAGCTTCTTTGTTTCGATTGAAACTCGCCATGGATGTCTCTCTTGCTTCTTTTCGGCGCATGCCTTCTCGCTTGGACGGCCTTCGTGACGGTCGCCACCTTCACTTGTCGTTGGTTCTTCATGGACCGCATTAAGCCATTCGTGAGCAGTACGCCTTGGGCCCAGCCTTGTGTGCTGCAGAGCTAGCCACTGAGCAGCTCAGTGGATGTTGCCTCATAGTCTGCAAGTCTCTCAGACTGGTGCGCTTCAGCGGCGAGGGCACGGGGAAAGCCGCTGCGCCAGATATGAAACCTCTTGAGGGCTTCAAAGCCACAGTTAGTGAACAGCTGCCTTTGAGCTTCTGGCGCTAAGCCTGAAGTCTGGGCGCAACGCACCTAGGCCAACGCCTCTGCATTTGATTGGGCTGCCGCAGTCGGTGCGCAAGGAAGACACCAAACCATCCTCCACGGGTTTTTGGGGCGTCACCAGGACAGCTCCTTGGGCTCTAGTTTAACATCATCAAGGTCTGCGGTTTGCACACTTTGCTATTGGCACTTTACATAAACAACTCAACAGCCAACCAAAGAACCAGAACTGAACCATCCCCAAACACAGCGCCAACGCATTCCTTGAAGAAGCAGTTGGCCTCACAGTTCCATTTCGATGGCACTTGGAAACCTCCAAGCTCCTGACTTTGCTCGCATTTTGCGACGCAATGAGACCCAGCCCGCCGACATCCCAACCACTCGGGAACTCTTTCAGCCAACTCTTCACCCAAGAATTTGCATCAAACACATCATCAAGCCGAGATCTTTTCTCTGCTTTTTCCGCTGCCAGAGCACTGGCCCTCGCACACCATGAAGGTGTACTCCCTCACCTGGGCGCTGGAAGCGGTCGAAACTACCCTGTTTCGAGGGCTCCCCTTTTTTGGGTGGTTCTACGGGGCAGCTGCAGGGAAATCCACTGTTTGTGTTTCTTTTTATTATTGTTTCCCTGGGGGGGGGGGGGGCAGTTTTGAGACAAATCTGCTCACCTATTTACCTCACCATTCACCTGTTTCAAGGCTGCAAATCTCGCTGAGGTTCCGCCGTTCTCCTTGAGGGCTCCATGGTCTTCACCGGGAAGTTTGGCCCCCCCCCAGCCCGGCCTCTGGGGTGAAGGGAGGGTGCAGGCCTGGCACGTCCGCAGAGAGGGAGGTGAGCTCTGGCACCTCGCGTCAAGTTCCCACCTCAACGGGAATGACTGTTCAGGGATCCGGATACATGAAAACCACCTGAACATTGCGTTGTAAATGGTGGTTTCCCGCCCCTCCCAAGAAGCGCTTTTCGGAACCCTGTAACAGCAAACATTATTGCCACTGTCAAGCCCCCAAATAAGCATAAGGGTGGCGCGGTTTGGCCACGGGAACACAAACTTCAAACACGTGTCGGGCGGGGCCAAGTAAGGCGCCTTGAAATGGCTCTACATCTGGGTGAACTATTATATTTCCTAGGTCGTTGGGTCAAGTTCGTTGTTTCAAAGGTTGATCTGAAATAGCTTAGGTCGTGGCACTGCTGTGCCTCAACATGGCAACTTCTGAACCCCGATCAATAAGGGCTCCAAGTGGCAACTCCTTTTGAAGAGGTTGGAACCTGTTCAAAGCGGAATTCTGGGTGACGCATCGGACAACAGCACCATTTGCGTGCCAAAACGCAGCTCTCGGAGCAATCACGGAGGGTGATGGGGTCCAGCGCCTTTTATACTGCGTGTTCAAGCAGCGGGTGTGGGTGGCGGGCATGACACAACAGGATTTCTCCCAGACCTTCACAGTATTTCAGGATTGCTAGGTCGAATTCACAGTGAGGTCGGCTGACCTCGCTGTAGTTTGCCCAGTCTACGTGAAACGGCCAGGTTTTCCTCTGGAGGTTGAAGGAACCTCCCTGTCCCGACCCGGTCCCTGGCCAAGACCGCCTCGATCTGATGGTCCGTGTAGCATGCGATGTTCGCGAGGGCCAGAAAGAGCGTGAGGAAGACCAACAAAGGCATAGAGGTGACCAGGAAGGGCTTCGGCGAAACCAGCCTTAGCCAAGATACAATGTCCATGTTGCCGATGTACTTATCAGTCCCAGAACTCCGCTGCAATGATTGGCATTCTGGAACTCAAGCCAAAGCAAAGAGGATATATGACAATTGGAAAGACATGATCGCAGGATGTTCGGTTTGGAGCTCGGCTATCCGAAACCGAAAAATAGGATGGTGTTGAGTCCATGGACTGGCCCTCTCGCCACACCTTTGGGTCCTTGAAGGCTCACAAGAACCGAAGAGCAGCGAAGAGACCATGGAAGCTCGGCCCATTTCTCAGGGATCCGGATGCACCGATCGAACATTGCAACCTGTAAATGGTGTCCAACTTTATTTTGGTGTTGAAAAAGCCAGCCATGTTTCAACTGGTGGCAAGATGGAGATCTTTTAAATGGTGCCAAAGCGTTTTTGCGTCTCCAAGCCGCCTCGGGATCCACAGCATGTCCGAGAGCTGCAGCGCCCGCGTGTGCTCTGCGGGAACCAACGCTTTGGCCGCCTCGATGTCCGAGGCCAATGGCTTCTCGGACCGGGGCTCCTGTGCGTTTCTGGCTTGTGAATTTCATCAGGGGACCTTTGGTGGACATCATTCAGTGGCGATTCATGTCCAACCGCCTTTGAGCTTGACATTCAAAACCACTTCGGCCCCGACTCAACTTCAATTTAACTTGAGTTGGGCTTTGGGGACCCTTCGAAAACTTCACCAGAAGGGCGTTCCGGGCAAAACAACAACGATGCTACCTCGGGCCAATCAAAAATCAGCCAACCCTTCAACCTTTGGCAACCTCTGGCAGGGATCCTTACATTATACACCTGAACATTGCAACCTGTAAATGGTGGTGTCCAACTTTATTTTGGTGGAAAGAAAAAGCCAGCAACATGTTTCAACTGGTGAGGCAAAATGAGTTTCTTTTCAGGAGCCCTGTTGTTTCTCCTTCCGGGCGGCCGCCAAAAAACAGCCCACAGCCAAACGCTGCAGCTTCGCGAGCTCCGAAGCTTCGCACAGCTTCTTGAGGCACGTTTGGTCCAAGACCTCCTGTCGAATCCATAGAGAAATGGTGGGTCAAAAATGCAAACATCGGGCAACCCCAAAATGGCGCAGGCCCTGGTAAATGGACACATGGACTAAAACCAGCGGTATTCCTGGTGGCACTGCCACTGTGGTTGGGACATGTTCACTGCCTTTCCTTGGGTTTAGCAAAGTGGAACACATGGGGTTGTTGGAAGATCTCCTATGGGTGAGCTTTGAATCGATGGAGCAGTGGCCCACAACAAGCCAAGCCAAACAATGGCTAAGCAAATGAAACTGAGTTGGAGTACACGTGCGTGTTGTGGTTGAAGAGGTCAGTCTGGGGGGGAAAACAAGCACGTGCTCAACCAAACCCGAACGCATGTGGAAACCAATTAGATCAGTGACCCTGGAAGAAGGAACTATTGTTGTTTTTTCTTGTTTTGGTTCATTTCTAGCAGGGAAGCAAACCCAACAGCAAAATTGAAAAAATGCATTTCGAAACAAATGTACTTAGTTGTTGCCTGAAAGAATCTCCTCCGCTGGGTGAGCATCTAGTGTGGGGACTTCACCTGTTCCCCCCCCCTCCCCCCGAGGCGTGATACTTTTGTCCTAAGCGTTTCGGCGCCATGCCAGGGTTGCATTCAAACCCATCGACCACTTCCTCGCACCTTTGTCTCTGTGTCCGTGTAAGCTTGTATTCTCGAGGGATTGACTTTTGGGGGTTTACAGGGAAGCCAAAGGGAAGACTGGCATTCCACACTATGTGATTTGTAGCATGCATCATGGGCACGTTCGGGCTGACCCTTTGGGCGAGTCGCCTTCTGGATGTGGCACACAAGTGGCGACGAAGCTGGAACATCCTCTGAAAGTCCAGATGGAACCCCGTCTTAGTTTCCAGGCTGAGTTGCAGGGGAGTAGGAAGCACCAAACAATAGAGTTGGCTGAGTCTGCCTACTCCCAACAGCAGTCCTACAAATCTTGTGGATTTCCGATTAACCGAATCCCTTTTGCAAACGAAACTGGCCTGTGCACGCCTTAGATCCTTGCCACCCACGGAACCCAAAAGTAAAAGTCGTCAAACAGCAGAACAGCGGCCGCAGCTGCATCACCCTCAATCTGACCCGCTGCGCTTTTGAGTTTATGGGTCAAAAGAATCGGGGGAAGAAAAAACAGCGAGGGCGCTGCGGCTGGCCTCATTATTTTACCATGATCAAAGTCACCCCTAAGTGGTGGGTTAAAGGGAAACAACCCCAGACACCGTCAACATAATCACACCTGTGCTGAGCGCCGCAGGATCGATCTGGTGGCCTTGTCGCGGCTCCCATCGTCGCCCAAAACGCGCGAGCCGGTTTTTCCCGTGCCGAAATCCAACAATCGATTTGCCACGCTCCTTCTCCAGCGACAAAGAGTTCCTCAGGGAGAACAGCATGTACTGAAGAGGGGAGCTGAACACGATCCTGAGTCGCAACCAAAAGTGAACGAAATGCTAGCGGTTGAAGTTCATGGTTGCCAAAAGGCAGAAAGTTTGCACCAAAGAATTAAAAAACATATAATATCCACTTTAATTGAACAACACCCCACCAAAAGGGAACTCCCGAAAAACAAACACAGCAACCAGCAATGATGATGGTAACATTTCAAGGGAAGCAAATAATTGGAAATCATCCGTCACTTCCAAGGCTGGATCAAACATGACCCAACCAGCAGCAATACCTCAAAAAAAGAACTACTACCCGGAAAAGACCCCTTACGTAGAGTTTACTGGGTTGCAAGCCTTCAAGTACACTGCGCTCTGTACTTAATCACACTGTACTTCAGGGCTGAGAGCCCTCAAGTGCGCACTGCCCTTCAGGGCTGAGAGCCTTGAACTCACTGTGCGGGCGAAGAAGCATCGCAAAGCTTGACGCGCGCTGCGCTCAGACAGGCGCTTGCTTGCGCTCGGGGGCCACAAGCGCTGCGTTCTTCACTGCCCGAATTGCTGGCAATGCCATGGCGCAAGCTGTGGTGGCAGCTGTGAATTGCCATGGGAAACGGGCGAATCAGCCACATGTCAGGGCGTTCCCTCCCTTGAAGCAATGCGTTGGCGAATTCGGGAATCTAGGAGGCCTGGGCCGCCCCCTTGAGATGACGCAGCCCTTAAGCACAGTGCAGGTGCAGTTGCAAAGGCAACTTCGGGAATCTAGGAGACCTTTAAGTACAGGGCTCGACCCCCCCCCCAGTGTGTGTGTGTGTGTGTCGGCGTCCCAGGAGCACGACCCATGTAGGAAGATACGCGCGGCGGGGCTCGCGGGGTTCAGTTCCCTCACGTTTTCACACGGTTCCGAGAAGAAACATCCCCAAGATCTGAAGGGGACCAGGCAGTGGAGGGCGTTGGCTGCTGGCATTCTTTGACATGCCGCGTTCAAGACATGCATCTGGAAGCCGCCCCCCTTTGAAGGGCTTGTTTTGTTGACCTCCTCTTTAGTAGCTCTATTCGGTAGCACGTGCTTGGCGGCTCCTGCAAGGGCAGGCCGTGTGTTCGCCAGCGCGGCTTGGCTGTGTTACAGTGTTCGGCTTCTGGCTGTTGGATCCCCAGAAAATTTGAGTCGAGCGCGCAAGAATGAAGGTGTGTGCGTGGCAACGTAAAATACATGCGTGGAAAATGCAGCCCCCCTCCCCCCCCCCCAAATGCAATTTCCTGCAATTGGGGATCTTTAGGCAAACCTGAACAAGATACAAACTCGAGAAACAACGCACCCATAATCACCAAACCAAAAGGCAAAACAAAAGAGAAAATGACACATTTTGACCGAACACCACCTTGCTTCTAAAATATGTTTGGAGGAGACACTGGAAAACTATACATTTCTCCTTAAAGACCAACTTCTTAACTGGGGGGTCCTTTGGCTTTGAGCAAAGGCTCAGCCCCACCATCATGCCCAGCGGGCTGATGAGGTTCTGCCGAACGCACTGCCAGGAGCTGAGCAGCAGCACGGCCACCACCATGCCGAAGCCGCCGTAGAGCCACAGGAGCAAAGGCTCTAGGCCCTGCCTGCGACCCTCAAACTGAGAAATTTATTGACTTGGAGCCAAAGCAGGAGCTATTGCAACCCAACTGTAACTTGTTGGGACTGTGCGCAAAACCAATTGAGGGCATTTCTTGGCCCCCCCTTGTTGCGCTGAGTTTCGGGGAAATCGCTAGTTGCATACAACGGGGCGGGGCGGGGCGGGGGGCGGGGTGGGTGGGGTGGGGTGGGGTGGGGTGGGGTGGGGTGGGGTGGGGTGGGGTGGGGTGGGGTGGGGTGGGGTGGGGTGGGGTGGGGTGGGGTGGGGTGGGGTGGGGTGGGGTGGGGTGGGGTGGGGTGGGGTGGGGTGGGGTGGGGTGGGGTGGGGTGGGGTGGGGTGGGGTGGGGTGGGGTGGGGTGGGGTGGGGTGGGGTGGGGTGGGGTGGGGTGGGGTGGGGTGGGGTGGGGTGGGGTGGGGTGGGGTGGGGGGGTGGGGGGTGGGGGGTGGGGTGGGGTGGGTGGGTTGGTGGGTATCCCACTTCCGGTCTTGGTCCGACGACAATCCTGAACGATGGCTCGATAACTGATAAGAACCTTTGTTGGGCATTTGCCCTGGCGCTTGCCGTCTAACTCGTGCTTTGTTTCTGTCTGCTAAATGACACATGCGTCTGCCTAATGTGTGATCAATGGATAGTTACCACAAGGGCCCGTTTATTCTAATTGGGGCCACGATTCTATGGCCAACGGCTAAATCTTAGATTTCCAAAATCTTAGATTCCCAGTCCTTCATTCAGCCCAAGTATTGCAAAGGCAAATTTTGGCACTGCCAAGGTCCAAAACCTTTAGCCAAAAAAATATGGGACAGGCCTGGGCGGACCACCCTTTAAAAGTAAACAGCTACGGCTGTGATCTGGGCCCCCCAAACAAAACAATGAAAACACGATGCCTGAGATTAAAGCGCCCCCAACCCCAAAGTCAGACTGAAGAGCATCAGGGGCTCCTGCAGGCAAACCCCTTTGCGTGACTGCTGGGCCTGTTTTAAGTATGGGATGTTGTTACGATTCATGGTTTGAGGACCGCTTGCGAAACTGCAACATCTGGGCCTAAGGCCTTTGTTTGCGCTGAGAAGAACTTACAACCAGGCTAAGGCCCCGATCTGGGAAATATACCCACAACAAACTTGATATGAAAGAGTTCGCCAAATCAGTCGGATTAAAGATTTGCGTGACTGCTTGGCCTTGCTTCTCGTTGTTGAGATCGGAAAAGTGATTTGTTGAAGAGATTGATGGTTTGGGGGCGGGCCAATTGCAAACTGGAGCTCCTAGATCTCAAGCTTTGGTTCTGGCAACTGCTGCCCAAGAAAGAAGGCTGCCGTAATCCAAGGAAGTTTAGTTGGAAGACTTCCGTAATACGAAAAGTTGAAGGAGCAGAGTCGCTCAAGGTAAGACAGAAAGTAAGCAAGAAATACAAGAGAAAAAGCTAAGAAGGAGATCGAGAAGGAAGCAATTCTGTGGTAGGCGCAGCGTGTTGCGTAAGGCTACCTCTCTCTGTTCAGCGCACGGGTTCGCCACGGTCTGGCCGCGGCCCGGCAGTTTTCTCGTTGCGCATCACGAGCAGCTTCGCCGACCATCAAAAAGATCGTCAGGACAATCAAGAGCATTCCAATCAGTATGCGTTTCTGGCCACGTTATCTTTCTTGCTGAAGAACAAGATCTTCACGAATTGCAGAGGCTCTTTGGTCAACTGTGAGACACATCAGATTTGCTGGACTTTTGAGGTTCTATTCCATGGTTCATGTCTGGCTCTTCGTGGTCAAATATGCAGCTGACATTGCAGACGTCCACATCAAAACCGATGCAAACAGCCTTGTAACACCAGCCTCAATAAGAAATCAGCCTGAACAGAAAGAAACAATGCGCCTACTACACATGTTGCGGAAGGAATGCAACAGCGAACAGATGCACGGCCTTGCGCATGTATGAAGCGAAGATTGCCTTGCTGCCTCCTTGGCGAAGCACGAAGCTAGAGCAGGTGAGTTGTTCAAGCGCTGGCAACCTTCTAAGGGTAGACGCGCACCCCTTTCCGCACAATGTTACAGAACAAGGCATTTCTTGTAGAATGGTGAGTACACAACACAGCACATGGTCCCGTTATCATGGCCCTTGCAGGTTCATGCCGCCGCGTTCAATGCGGGCTGGAATGCTCCTTGAATTTGATTTCATCAGTGCTGACAGCCTTGCTTGAAACCCAGGCAATTTGCGTCTGCGACCGCGGCCACTTGACTGCTCAAAGCGCCTGGCTTTTGCGACTGCGTAGGCATTGCAACAACAACATGCCGCTTTTGCAAGGCACGTTTGAAGATGACCACACCTTCGAGCAAGAGACGCACCTCGCCACTCAGGTCCTCACCTGAACCTGAGAAGACCGACATGGAGGATTTCTCAATGGAAGAACGCGCTCTCCAACGATCCACATTCACAAGATGAAGATGACAAGTGGAAGTGGAACACGCCGTCACGCCGACTGGGGCGACAAATCATCAGAATCGTCAGAATGCCGAACGTCCGCCAAGGAAAGAGGAAAGCGCCGAAAGCATGGAAGAAGCAGAACGTCAACCTCACATCAATCTTCTGCCAAAGAAGAGGGCGCCTTCCAAGAAGCTCAGAGGAAGGGTCCGAATCAGTGACTGGTCCTCCTCAAAATACACGACCGCTTTTGCATAAAGCCCAACCATCCAGACGGCCAGACGAGACGCAGTCGGATCATCCGACACCCTTCAACAATGACAGCTTACCAACAAGTACTACGTTGAGTGCCAGAACATTCACAGGATGGATTCGGGCTCTGTTTTCGTTCCAGAAGAGAGCACAAGAATTACCTTCAGCAACGTTGCAATCATGTTTGGTTCCCGGCAATCAATGGAGAACGGCACAAGTATAGGGCACAGAGTGCCGGCTCCAACAGCCTGCACCGTCGAAAGATCAAAATCAGCAAACCATCCTTCCCTCCAAGAAAACGAGGAAGATGTCCTTCATGGCCCACGCCACCAATGGCCAGGAGCTAGTTTCGCGGTGGAGTAGCCCGGCAAGGAAGGTCATGAGGGAGGCTGTCAACGTTCGCATAACGTGCGTCGATGACTACAATGATCCTTGGTGACAGCGCTTCAGCATATTCGGGCGAGCAGAAGCGCCATAATTTTTATAGCAATCACCCGGAAAATCACTACGAAACTACGACATCAAGATCTCCGGAGACAGAATAGCGATCATGCTGCTTCCTGCTTGCAACCGCATCTCTTGCAACCGCATCAAATCAACAGACCATTCTACAGACAGTCCACCTACATCCTCAAGCAGTGACGCAGAGAATTACGGTCAAAAGATCACTGAAGCACGTCAACCAACGTGTGGTCTCAGCAACCTGGATCATTGAAGCTTCCTCGCGACAATCACGGCTGATGAGGCAGAACATGAGTTCGACGGAGCCAAATGCGAGATAGACTCACTTGCTCATGTCAATCCCAAGAAGAAATACCCTGAGACAAAACTCTACCATGAAGAAAGATCAGATGTCCCAACCACCGACGAGCTCCGCCAGACGCAGCCAAAGTCAGGTTACCCCATCATGCTATCATGCTACCATGACAAGGTCAAGGCCTACACCAAGATCCTGGGCTCGCTTCTTCAGCCGACAGCAAATCAGCAATGCTCCACATGCTTGCAGTAAATCTGGGAGTGTTGGATGGAAGAACCATCACAGCCCCATCAGCGAGAGACCCACGGTTCGGTTGATCACTCACAACAGTGCCCACACCATTTGTGTCAAGGAAGCCGGCGTGTTTTCCAAATCAGAAACCTTCAGCGATCATAAATAAAGATCTGGTATGAGGCGTTCGTCAACGCAGGCTTCGAGGGCATTGTCCCGAATTGCATTCGTGAGAGGCAACAATACTGCTAGAGTTAAACTTCTCGCTCGTCATTCATCCACAAAACGCCAATGCTGGAGAACCACACTTGGCGTTTTCCGTTGCTATTTCGGCACATCATGAGAAGGAACGCCAGCCGATTTCCGATTGCCTGACACGCACACCTCACTCGCTTCCTCCAAGAACTGAAGCAATCACATATTTAGCCAATGGAGAGATCATCGCCGTTCCCATCGATCAGAAGAGTGACTTCCAAGGCGAGACGACAGCCAAAGCTATCTGCCACGGGTGAGTTTGATGAGCGACGCGCCCGCCGAGCAGGAGTTCCATATGCGACAGTCGGAGTGTCCCACATCCATCCTTCGCACGCAGGGTGAATGGGCGCAGTTTAACGAGAATGGAAACAACATGCCCTACCATTCCAACACACAGCAAGAACCAAGTGTCCGCAACATTCTCCGCCATGTGCTTCATACCAACAAGAAGGGATTTTCATATGACAGGACCTTTCCTGATTGCATGGTGAATTATCACTTAGTCCAGCCAAGCGAGGCAGAGGAACAGCAACAAGGCCGGATACAGAAAGAAAGAAGCTTCGATGAAGAACACAAATCACCCAAGCATGCCCATCAGCGACCACCGGTTCCCTCTGCAGAACGTCCAGCACATCACGGATGCGATGCTCATGTTCGCAGAGAACGACAGTGACTGGCATGCTCCTCTCATGGTGTGCATCAGGAGCGGGTGAGAACGCAGGAGGGCAAGAAATGGCACGAAGGACATTATTCGGAGAGTCGTTGCAGCAAGAACTACTACCACCAGCAGCGTTGGTGCTGAAAGCAATAACCATAATCAGCTTCCGCAAGCTATGATCAAATTTCCAAGCCGATGGCACTACGATATGACCGACCAATCAACATCCTCACAAGATCCTTTGTGTTGCCTACATCATCTACAAGCCTATTCCAATTGTGATATCGTGTGCTAGGATACTTGTCCTAAAGTGAGTGAGTCGATGGTTTCACGGGACACATCAGTCCTAACCTCTTGCAGCCATTTGCATCTTTACGCATTGAAGTATTCTCGTGGCTACGGCAAATATAATATGGCTGCACTAGAGCCAAAAGCAGCCGGTCGCAGGACCCTTTTTCAGGGCAGGAACATGACACACAAAAAGAGGACACAAAAAACAGCAAGCGCAGTAGGCCGAAAGCTGGATTGGATGAGGATTATTGTCAATCCGGTCAATGGGTCAGTTGTGCGCATGGACTCCAAACGTCTTCAAGATTTTGGTGCAAGCAATGTGATGTTGGACGAGGTTTATGGGATACTGGTGGTTATCTATGCATGGAAGTTCACTCCAAGGGAAGGTCTTGCGTCTGGTTGGTTGCCCCTTTTCGGGGCCCGTCACGAACTCGTGGGGCGGAAAGAGAGCCGGGAACAGGAAGAAGCAGAAGGCCCGAAAAGAACAAAAAGCACCCGAGACAAGACACACAAAAAGACGGAAAGAGGGCACAGAAAGAGTCAAAGGGGAAAAAGAAACGAGCTCCGAAACAAAGAAAATTGTGAATCGCCACTCTGCTCTGGAGGACCCCAACATGAAGAACAACAAATGCCACAAATGTCAAAGCAACTTCGGATGTCCGGACCAACTTTGAGGTTTGGCCAAAGTTGAAGAACTCGGAAGCACCCTGCCGCAGGGAAAGGGAAAAGCCCTGAGTGGGGCCACTCCTGTGGAAGTCCAAGACCACGTGGTGCCGCAGTAGCGCGTGGAAGAGCAAGCGCCGGCTGTTGCATAAGAAGATCCTCACTTGCGGGGGGCAAGGGTGGAAAGTAATTATAGCCCATGAAACCTTGTCAAGGGAATTTCCACATTATGGCCTCAAGAGAAACCCCAGTGAATCCCCCACTCTCACCAAAGCTTTGCTCGGGGAAGCCTGCTATTTGTCGCACTTTTGTCCAAAATCAACCTGAGCTTGTGAGGCGGGGGATGTGTCAAGCTGGAAGGGGGGGGCGTCGTTTGCGGAGCAGCCACCTTCCCAGCCGATTTCCCTTCAAGGTGCCGACAGGTGCCAGCAGGACCCAGGAGAAGGGGGCTTGCCAGTAGCAGATTATCCATCGCTTGTCCGCGCCCGAACTTCTGCCTTACGTGCATCGAACCCGACAAGGGCACAAGACATGTGTTTGTCTCCGTTGATCGGAATGAAAAGTGGACCCCGCCCTCAAAGAGTTCGGTCTCGCAATGTCCTAGGTGTTTTGGCCCTCTTCCTTTAACCGCCCGCTCGCCCGCTAGGCTGCAGGAAGGTCATCGCCGCAAAGAGCAGCAGCACGCAGCCCGCGGTAAAGTGGAGCACGTCTCGCACTCCCTGCTTCATGATCTGCAAGTCGCCTCATTGTTTTATGTGCTTGGTTTCCTTTATTTGGTTCCCTCAAAGACAAGCGAAGAGAACCCAACCCCAAATCCAGCTTGATGGCAGTAGACTTCCTGCGCCTCCTTGGGCCTAAGTTGGCCAAGCTTGGAGGGACACCGTGGTTTCAACAGTGGTTTCTCTCTAGAGACTTGGGGGGGTTCGTTTTAGTGGGCTCCACTTGGTTTCTAAAACAGAAACAGTTGGGAATGCAATGAAGCACGCAATTCAAGGGGCAACAAAATTGTGGGGCGGCACCAACAAGCACGCCAAATGCAACCTGGCTGGAGGATCCTCAAGGACTATGAGGATTATGTTCGAACCATTCAGGCCCTGCCAGCCATCCCAGTTGCTGAAGGGCAAGTTCTGTGTCAAATAGAGGAACAAAACAAAACGGATTCAACCTTGAAAGACACCAACTCCCAACATACAGACCCACCTTCCCTGACTTGGCCGCGCCCCCTCGCGCAAAGCCGCTGGGGATGATGAGCTCCGAGGGCCCCTGCGGCGCAGGCGGCTGACTTCTCAGCAGCCAGATCTCCCTGCCCAGCCAGAAGAAGACACCCACCAGCGCCAACAAAATCAGCAGAAAGAGGCCTTCCAACACGAAGTCCTGGCACGTGAGGCTGAAGTCAAAATCGCATGACAAGAAAACTCCAAACCCGCGCGCTGTGCGCGTATCGATTGTTGCACACTGCGTTTACGAAGACGCCAAGCATCTCAAGACCAGATTTCAGCAAACAAGGCTTTTGGGTCTGTTGTTTTGGACGTGTGACAGAGATGCACGCGCATTTCGTGTGGCCTGATAGGCGCTTGCATGCCTGCAAGACAGAGGTGCGCAGCGAGTTCTCTTTTCAAGCTGCTTTCTTTTTGCCCTAAGCTGGCCTGCTTGTCACAGTCCTCTAGCCAAAGCTCCAAGCGAGCTAGTTGAGGAAGAGTGCAGGAGAGGAACCAGGTGGTCGGGAGATGTCGGGAGCAAGACAGAGAGCGTGCCTGCAGCAAGACCGCGCTGCGACATGAGCAGCCAGCGCAGAGGCAACCAGAAACCAGCAAGCTGGGCCCTATGCGAAAGGACAACAACGTTGTTGCGTGACTGCGCCGCCAAAAAGCCGGAGATCAATAGAAAATCAGCGCAACTCAAGAGGGCTAGACCTGGGGGAACCCTTCTCAAAAAAGGAAAAAGGGCGCCGCTGGGCAAGAGGCCTTTGGGTGCACTTTCTCAGGTCCAAGGGCCGTTGCTGCCTGACAGCCCCGAAGACCGTGTCCCAACCAGCCACTGTGCAACTTCCGCCCATGACATCCACTGCCCCAGCATGCAGCGCCACTGACTCTTGGCTCCATGACTCACTCCTCGTCCTGCGCATGCCCTTGCCTCGAGGATCTTGACCAGCACGCTGCGCGCTCGGCTTGAGCTCAAAATATGCGCTTGTAAGATCATGTCAGAGCGGATAGGCCCATATTTTGTACATTTGCGCAAAACAGCTGAACACCCGCCACGACAGCAGACTTCCCTTCGCAAAACCAGGCGCATCAACCAGTCCGACTCAAAAGGTCTCAAGGTGCGAGCGACCCATCAAGGACTGTGAATGGCACGTGTTTGCCACTGAAATCGCAACACCTGCGACTCGATTCGGCACATACGCGACAGGTTGCCTAGCCAGTTCTTTCCTGCAACGTTCTTCCGTGCATCTTTGAAAGGTCCTCGGAGTGTTGCGCTAGCGAACAATGGGACAGAGAGTTCTGTGGGAGCACTGCATGCCCTGGGCCCTGTAATGCACCACTGTTCTGAGATATCCAAAACCCGTAATTCACAATAGGATGGAAATCGTCCTGGAGGAAGCTGCGGTTGGCTGGATCATCCAAGCGCTCCATCCTGCAAGCTCACAAAGCGTGGGGCCTAAGATGGGTGGTGTGCTGTTGTGCCCTCATCTACCTGTCGGTTCTTTTCTTGATTGGAACACCCCGGAAAACACAAAAGCGACCCGCACCATACGGACAGGAGTCACTCTCCAGAGGAAGGCTTGCGTTCTTCTTTGAAATGCGGGAGGGAGTTGTATCCAAGGTTAGGGGGCAACAAAACAAAGCTTGGATGCTTTACTTAGCCAACAAGGTTGCTCCAAAGCCCTGAAAACGCTTGGCACAAGGGCTGGGAAAAAGAGGCAGTTGGGCAAACACAGGGAAACCAAAAGAGGCCAATGCAACTGCAAGGAATGGAAGGACTGAGGGGTATTGCATACTCGGGTCCACGTGAAAACATCAACTCCAACAAGTTCACCATGAGGCACCCGCCTCTGTGCGGAAAAAACAGGGGTAGAAAATACAACAGTTGGCCAAAAGCAACAACTACTAGCACAGAAATCATTGCTAAGCTGTCCGTGAGAATACCTCAAAACAGAAACCGCAAGCACGACTTGTTTTGGCGCGCTTGCGAACAGAGGCCTCCGGGCACGTTTACTTGAGTTTGACTTCCCCAAGTGCAAGTTGCCCATTTCTTGTGATTGTTTTTAAGAGAACTGGGGACCAGAACCAAACCTGGCTCATTTCCGTTTGGCTCCCGACAAAACACGTAGCCAAGAGGGACCCCATCTCTTGGAGACTGGAAGTATCAATTTTGAATTGACGTGGCAATGGGAATGTTGCGGATGTCGAAAAGATCCACGGGGCTGCATCCTGCAGAGTGATATACTGAGCTAAGAATTGCATTTGGCACCTAACGCGGAGAGTCGGCTCCTGTAAATGGGCGGTTTTTTGGCCCACGTGACAAGTAATCTGCAGGGGGTCTTCGGTTTTACCAAAGACCTGCCAAATTGGCTGGCTTCCACTGCAAGCGCTAATTTTCAATAGTCCCCTATTTTTGGGAAACGCCCAAGAATGTTGTCAGCCCGTTGCTCCTGGTTCCCTGCAAGCACCAACTTCGAAAGCTTTCAATATGGGTATGGCTTCTACTTTGGGACCCTCTGGTGGGCATCAGTTACATGGGGGCTTATGCCGCAATCCTTTTCGGAATCCTAGTTCGGCAAATCCATCATACCTGACAGTTAATCACTTCCTCCTATCAGAAAAAAGCCGTACCCAAGCTTTCAAAAGTGGGTGCCTGAACACACAACTTCCCAGGAACCCTGAATATAAGGCGCATATAAGGCGGGACATCCATCATGAGCCCCTCGGACAATTCAAAGCTCGGGAAAGAAATCCGGCACAACATAGAACACACCTTGCAGGCTTCTCTGAAGACGTCCTGGCCGCCGGGATCACTGCTTGGAACCAGTGCCGCAAACGCCAGGGCCGCTCGGGGAGGCGCAGGGCGGCAGCGCATGTGTTGCTGGAGGCACCCACCGGGCAGAGAAACAGCTGGGAGTGGCCCTGTCATCCAACAAAAAGGCAATCTTGTGAACCAACCAGTTTATGTCAATTTGGGTATGTCTCGCTTTGGGGGGCCCCACAAAAACGGCGGCTTTCCTGTTGGTGTCCGTTGAAATTTGACTAAAAAACATATGGGATACCCAAAAGCAAACACCCGCCATTTATAGCAAAGGGATGGAGAAGGCTGGCGGTCTTCAATGTTTCGAGGCTTGGGGCAACGTGGGGGGTTCGGATAAAAGAACAAAAGCAAAGGGGAAGTTGCAAAAGGAAGGTGCACGCATGCTGCGAACAACGCCTGACATTCTGCAAGAGATCTTGACGAACTGGGTGCGGAACTGGAGCTGCTGTTGGCTGCAGTTTGCAGGCAGCGGTTCTCTGGGTTCTGGAGCGATTCGCACTACGTGTTGGAGCCACACCAGGTGGCAGGACAATGGTTGACGAAACCGTGTTTTCCGCCTGCGCTGTTTGCGGGTTGCTGATGCGCTTTGAGCTCTGCGTTCGCAAGTAAAACAGACACAAGGCAGCGCACGCATGCGAACGTGTCTTCGCTTCCTTCTAAGCCCCACCCAACCCCGCCGTGCGCGTTTGCGTTAATGAATGATTGCTTAGCCTGGCATTATCTGAAACGCCTTTTGGAGGAACTGCGCAACTTTCCCTTGCAACTGTCAGAAACCGTTCAAAGCCCCCTCTAGAAGCCAATCAATCAAATCCCCGTCCAAATCCCCGCGCAAACCGATCAAACCTTTTCTGGAAACCGGTCAAATTCCTTGTGGAAACCAATCAAATTCCCCTCTATAAAGCAGGCAAACCGGTATCTCTTTCGCCGCCAAAACCAGCTCCTAGAACCTCCTAGAAACCGATCACATCCCCCAGAAGCCAATCAACCCCCCCTCTAGAAACCGGTCCCTAGAAACCGCACAAACTCCCAAATCCGGTCAGGCTTCGCTTGGCCCCAATCCATGGCTCTCGTTCTACCTAGCCAGTCAGGCCATGTGGAAACGCACGAACACGCGCCCTCCATCTTGGAAGCTCGCGCATTTCGCTCCCGACTCACTCACTCAGACAAACGGTGCTAGCCCAAACCTTTTACCCCGGCTAATCCAAGTAGCGCGTGCTGTTTCTCTTCTTTTGTTGGGGGGGGGGGGGGAGGACGAGGGGTAGAGGGTTTTGGTTGATTCCCATGTGTGCTGTTGGTTAAGGATAATCCTTGAGGAAAGAGGAAACCGGAGGGTCCATCGCCGCCTGTCGGATGCACTCAGCGTGCGCGGTGATCCGAGCTAAAGAGCCCTGTACCACGTTGCCAGGGGGGCCGTACACGGGCATCACCGAGGCGGCGCAGAGACCCGGAGCATCTGATTGACACTTGGGCGAGGCCTTGAGGGTGTGGTTGGTCACCTCAGCCAAGTCAAGGAAGGAAGGAAGGAAAGAAAGACCAATTGAATGGTGAAAAGAACGAAGTTAAGAAATGCAAAAGAAATAAAGAAAGACAACAACAGCAAAATAAGAAAAGAAAGGAAAGAAGGAGAAAGGAAGGAAGGAAGGAAGGAAGGAAGGAAGGAAGGAAGGAAGGAAGGAAGGAAGGAAGGAAGGAAGGAAGGAAGGAAGGCAGGAAGGCAGGAAGGCAGGAAGGCAGGAAGGCAGGAAGGCAGGAAGGCAGGAAGGCAGGAAGGCAGGAAGGCAGGAAGGCAGGAAGGCAGGAAGGCAGGAAGGCAGGAAGGCAGGAAGGCAGGAAGGAGGAAGGAGGAAGGAGGGAAGGAGAAAGAAAGGAGGGAGGGAGGAGGGAGGGAAGGAGGGAGGAGGAAGGAAGAGGAGGAAGGAGAAAGGAGGGAGGGAGGGAGGGAAGGAGGAAGGGAAGGAGGGAGGGAGGAAGGGAGGGAGGGAGGGAAAGGAAGGAAAGAAGGAAAGAAAGAGACATTAACGAGGAACAAGCAAGACAGAAAGAAGGACATGAAGACATGGATAACTCAAGAAAGAAAGAAAGAAAGAAAGAATGACAGAAAGACAGAAAGAAAGAAAGAAAGAAAGAAAGAAAGAAAGAAAAAAAGAAAGAAAGACAACAGAAGAAAGACAGACAAACAATAGACATACAGAATGAAAGAAACAAAGAAAAAATGACAAACCATAAAGAAGCACATTTAAACAAATGAGTAAATATAACATATATACAGAACACAGGCAAGACAGACAGACAGGACAAAAGAAGGACGGGAGGAAATCAAGAAATCAAGGAAGGATGAAAGGGATGCAAACACAAACAACAACTAGCGTTTAGCTCTTCTTTGAGGGGCCAGTTGGGTTGGGGCTTCAAATGTTGGGCATGTGGCATGCGGCCGCTTCCTTCTTTGCATGGGCAGCTTGTCAAATAGGGGGCCCTCCAAATTGTGGTTTTTCCTTTGGTTTCTCTTCAAACCAGCTTGAAAGAGTACAGCACCTCAAACACACGCGCACACACACACACCTTTTCAACCTTTCAACGCGCACACACACACACACCATATTACATGCGCTTCCTTCTCGAAAAGAGAAAGCTCCGGAAGCTACCGCGGTACATTCAGCTTCTCTTTGGAGCACGGGGACTGCCCCACTAAAGCACAAACCTGAAAAGTAGCCAGTCCCGATTCTGGAGGGTGAGGGATCAAAAAACTTTTGAGGCATCAAAGAAACTTTTTCCTGAAGATCAATAAACTTATTAGAGGTTCTTTTAGATTTCCTACTAAAGTGAAAACTCAGAGGATCAAAAAATAACTTGTCAGGGATTAAAAACAAACCTCTTCATTTCCTGGCATGCGCAGCACTTTCGCAAGGTCAGGTACAGATTTCGCCGCAAGCGCAGCACTTTCACAAGGTACGCTGCAGATTTCGCGACAAGCACAGCACTTTCGCAAGGTCAGGTACAGACTTCGTGGCAGGCACAGCACTTTCGCAAGGTCAGGTCCAGCAAGGTGCGGCACAGACTTCTCGCAAGGTCAGGTACAGATTTTGTGGCAGGCGCAGTACTTTCGCAAGGTCAGGTACAGCGTCCGTGGCAGGTGCAGCACTTTCGCATGGTCAGGTACAGATTTCGCGGCAGATGCAACAGGTAAGGTACAGATTTCGCGGCAGGCGCAACACTTTCACAAGTTACGGTACAGACTTCGTGGCAGGCGCAACACCTTTGCAAGGCCAGGTGCAGATTTCGCGGCAGGCGCAGCACTTTCGCAAGGTACGGCACAGACTTCGCGGCAGGCGTAGCACTTTCGCAAGCGATGAAGAGAAAGATACAGAGAAATACACATGCAGAAAACAGGGAGAAAAAGAGAGCAAGAGAGAAAGAGAAAGAAACAGAGAGAGAGAGAGAGAGAGAGAAAGAAAGAAAGAAAGAAAGAAAGAAGGAAAGAAAAAAGGAAAGACATCAAGAAAGAAAAAAAGAAAGAAATCAATAAAGAAAGAAAGAAAAAAGAAAGAAATAAAGAAACATCGAGGATGTGATGATTCAACAAAAAGCGCGCTAATCTCTGCAAATCTTCTAAAAACCAGCGCGGGGGTTGGGGGGCGGCAGCCCGCCATGATGATCGAAGAAGTGATGATTCAACAAAGGGTGCATCCGCCGATTCCCGAAATCGATGTTGAGAACCTCTCAAAATGTTTCAGATCTCCTTCCTTTACTTCCTTTCTTCTTTCTTTCCTTCCTTCCTTTCTTTTTGGAATTCCTTCCTTGCTTCCCTCCTTCCTTCCTTGCTTGATTCCTTTCTCCTTCCTTCCTTCCTTCCTTCCTTCCTTCCTTCCTTCCTTCCTTCCTTCCTTCCTTCCTTCCTTCCTTCCTTCCTTCCTTCCTTCCTTCCTTCCTTCCTTCCTTCTCCCCATGAGAATGAGAATAAGTTTTTTGTTGATCTCTAATAAGTTTGTTTATTGATCCCTAATAAGTTTGCTTTTATTTATCCCTAATAAGTTGTTTTGATGCCTGTCCCGATTCTGGATTCCAGGAATAGACCCCTTTGAACGCCTCCAGTTCCTCCAAAGCTGGTAAACAGAGTCTTGCGCCTAAGTTCGGACGGTTCGCGAGTGTTCTTAAGCATAGTGGTTCGATCCTCTTGAACAATAGTGCTTGAACATGTGTTCTTAAACATGTGCTGTTCTCTTAAACACTTCTTTGTTTTTATTATTGTCCAAAATTTATTCTTGAACATGTGCCTGTCACGTGCATCATTAGTTAAGCTTGTGAAACTTGGATCCCCTCCACATTTGGGAATGGCAGGTTTCGGAGATATTTCTCCGGAGTGTCTTCCAGTCTTTTTTGGTCGGCTTCCCACTATTCTTAGTGGAAAAAAGGTGCGACACCAAAACCTGGAATCTAAAGCTTCACCTCGCTATCCTTTGCGGCTGACAAAACCCACACCACCGGCCGTGGAAAGAGAAGGAATGTGAGGCTGACAAACCCAACGGTGGTTGAAATCACCGGCCAAGTCCAACAGTGGAACATCAACTTGTCTGTGATCACGTGAGGTTTCTGTCCGCTAGTTGATCACTTGTCACGTGAGAGATCCCCTCTCACAGAGAGCGTTTTCCGCATTCCCACCAGCCTGGACTGGTTCAAGCCAAGAAGCCCATCCCACCTTCACGGCGAACGGGTGCGCCAATTCAAAAACCAAGGGCGCGGCAGACACCAACCGCGCCTCTGGGCAGTCGGGTGCCTCGGGCCGACGGGAGCAAAACAAGAATCCTCTGACCCACAGGAAACTGACCTAAACCTCCAACCGTGGACTCCTATGCCTCAACAAACTGACAAACAAAATCCGTCTAGTTTCTGCCAGGCCAGGATGTTGCCTGGAAACATGCCCTCAAAGAAAGCAATATTTGTGCAGCGCTCCCTGCCTCTTCCTCCGTCAGAAGCTCCGGATCGTCCACGCGGATCTGTTGTGTCTGCAGCAGCTGCTCAAGCAATAGCAGCACCTTGGCAAAACGTAACCCCTGCAAAAGGTGAACTTGCTGCGCCGTCATGCACATAGTCTGTGACCACACCAGTGCGATTGCACGAACGTGGGACAGGAGAGATTGATATTGACAGTCCCTAGCGCCATTCGTTCGAAAGGAATTGAGACCTTGGAGGCTCGCAGCGGAAGCTGACGATGCCGACGGAGATGGCAACAGTGAATCCAACAAGCGCGGCACGGTTAGGAGTGCCATCCTCGGGCTGAACGGGCGGCAAGTTGAGTGGAAGTGGACTATGCGGATTGAGGTTGTCGCAAGCAAGATATTATGTGTTTGGGAGTGAGAACACCTGGTCAGGTGTAGGGTACCAAGGGCAAGAAGCTTCTGACCACACCTCGGACAAACATTTCCAGAGCATCACCTGGAGTTTTCACCAAGGGAAGAGTTTCGTCTCGGTTTTTCGCACAAAGTGTACGGCCGGAAAAGGAGAACCGGAGCGCACTTCCGCTCCGAGTTTGGGCGTTTTGCTTGGCCTTTCGCGAGGTTTTGTGTGGCTACCCTTCCGCAAAACCGCGGGTTTTTGGTTTAGACATGCCAGAAAAAGGCGAAAGATGACACGCACAGGAACAGCCCACGAGAGGTCAGGGATGCATGGGCTGCTGCCATTGCGAGCTAGAGGGTAATTGTCATAGGTGGCCTGTTGGTTAAAAATCGATGGGTTTCCTGGTAAATGGATGGCATAAACCCCATCTAAACCAGTGGAACCCATCTATTTTGTACCAAACTAACCTATAAAGGACACCTATGGTAATTGTACGAGACCCCTCAGACCGAAGAAAGCGGGGACCGTGAACTAGGCAGATCCTTGAGAGGAAGAAAGGCAACGCTCTCGGAGGAACGGTCCCCCAACTTGACGTGAAGGGAAAAAGATTCGAATGAAAAGCAAATGAACCCCAAAGAGCGAAACGGCAAAGGTTGCTCAAGTCTGGCAGTAGCACCAGGAAGTGCATGTAGCGGAAGCGGAAACATCAGCTCGCGATTCCCAAAACTTTTGAAAAAGAGCTCATACAAACAACAGTGGACTGGAGCCAAATGCCATTGCCACGGTCAACTGCGAAGGCAGCTTCACAGCTGTAACAGGGATCCTTACATTCTACACCTGAACATTGTAATGTGTCAATGGTGGTTTCCTTCTTCAATCTTTGGCGTTGAAAAAGGAAACCATGGTTCAAAAGCTTGCAAGCAAAACGTTTTTGTGTTTTTTTCCGGAGCCCTAAGCGTGCAAAAGGAAAGAAGTAATTTGGGGGTCGAAGGACATGGACAGGGCTCTTAACCGGCCTCGAGATCCCAGGCCGGGGAGTTCGAGTTCGCATCTGGGCCCCAAAGCGAGCACGGCAGGTCGAGGTGGATTCTCCAAGTCCGCCGACATTGCTCGGCGTGTCGGACACCTAAGAGAGGATAGAGGATAGCCCGTCTGATACGTGGGGCCCCCCCCCACGGACCGCGCGGCAATTTGATGACGTTCCACTAAACGTAGTCTTCGGGGAGCCGGTGTCGCAAAACAGGGGTCCCAGGCTCGATTCCCCCTGCCGGCTTTTTTGCTGGCTTGGGCTTCCTGCATCCTTTTGCCGAAAATCTGGAAAAACTCTGTGTTTTTGGACATCATCTTTGCGAAAACGCTGGAAAAACAGTTTTTTTGCGGGAAATACTGGGGAGCAAAGGGGAAGTGCAAGGATACATACATACATACATACATACATTACATACATACATACAGACGACATACATACATACACACATACATACATACATACATACATACATACATACATACATACATTACATTACATTACATACATACATACATACATACATACATACATACATACATACATACATACATACATACATACATACATACATACATTACTTACATACATACATACATACATACATACATACATACATACATACATACATACATACATTACATACATACATACATACATACATACATACATTACATACATACATTCCATACATACATACACATACATACATACATACATACATACATACACTATACATACATACATACATACATACATACATACATACATACATACATACATACATACATACATTACATACATACATACATACATACATACATACATACATACATACATACATACATACATACATACATACATACATACATACATACATACATACATTACATACATACATACATTATTACATTACATTACATTACATTACATTACATTACATACATACATACATACATACATACATTACATTACATACATACATTACATTACATACATACATTACATTACATACATACATACATACATACATGCATACATACATACCTACCTACATACATACATACATACATACATACATTACATTACATTACATACATACATACATACATACATACATACATACATACATACATACATACATACATACATACATACATACATACATACATACATACATACATACATACATTACAACATTACATACATACATACATACATACATACATACATACATACATACATACATACATACATACATACATACATACATACATTACATTAATACATACATTACATACATACATACATACATACATACATACATACATACATACATACATTACATACATACATACATACATACATACATACATACATACATACATACATACATACATACATACATACATACATACATACATACATACATACATCCATACATACATACATACATACATACATACATACATACATACATACATACATACATACATACATACATACATACATACATACATACATACATACATACATACATACATACATACATACATACATACATACATACATACATACATTACATTACATTACATTACATTACATTACATATTACATACATACATTACATACATTACATACATACATACATACATACATACATTACATTACATTATACATTACATTACATTACATTACATTACATTACATACATACATACATACATACATACATACATACATACATACATACATACATACATACATACATACATACATACATACATACATACATACATACATACATACATACATACATACATACATACATACATACATACATACATACATACATACATACATACATACATACATACATACATACATACATACATACATACATACATACATACATACATACATACATACATACATACATACATACATACATACATACATACATACATACATACATACATACATACATACATACATACATACATACATACATACATACATACATACATACATACATACATACATACATACATACATACATACATACATACATACATACGAGAGAGGGAGATTGGGGAGAGAGTGGCTTGGGGGGATGGGGAGGATGGGGAGCGGAGGGAGGGAGAGAGGACGACAGAACACACCAGGGAGACAAGGGAGAGAGGAAGAAGGAGAAAAGGGAGAGGACAATGTCGGCGGACTGAGCCGGAGGCTCTAAAGTTTCCATTCTCAGCCATCGACTTTTTGTTTCTCCAAAAACCGGATCCATTTCTAAAGAAGGGTTTTTTTTTGGTGGCTCTTGGAGAAAGAGTCGGATCCCTGGAAAGAATGGGGAAGCTAGCCCTAGAGCATTTGGCACATCACGCTGACAGCTTCTCGCTGGTCAGGGCTCCGCATTGGCTTTCTGCCAAATTTGAAGTCGCTGGTGGCCCTTTCAAAGCCCCAAAGATCTACGAGCCAGGTTTAGCAAGGCAAAGTGAACACCACTTCATCAGTCTTTTGGATGGTTGTTTGGGGGTGTCTTATCATTGGCCTAAACAAGAACCAGAGGTTCACCCCACGATACCTCACCAATCCAAACAGCCCATGAAGGGTGACTCAACTTTCGGCAACTGAAAGCTCCGTGCCCAAATGCCCTGCCCGCAGCCTTTCCTCCCCGATTCCACGCCCCGCGCACAAAGCACGGCGTGCACTTTGGCGCGCCGGGCTCACCGTTCGAAGCGGGTTTCCACAGGAAAGAATCAATTCTTGGGTGCATATCTGTACTATATATATAGACATATATGTCTAATCACATATGAATATGCATGGCATCCCCCCCAAGAAGAAACTAGGCTGTTGATAGCTGCATTCTGGCTCCCCCCACAAACTATAGCCATTCAACGATGCCACAACCTCCCCAAAGACGGGCGCTTCGCGGGACTTTGGCTCAGCGCAGGTAGGACTCTGGAAAGCCGTCGTCCGCCGGAAAGGCACCTCCGAACGGAGGGAGCGCAAATCGAACCGCGAAGCCGGGGGCCAAGTACCTTGGGGTTTTCTGGGGCCAGGGTCTAAGTATATGGCACTTGAACCCGGGAAACAAAGGACATGTTGAAATGACGAAAGACAGAGCAAAGAGAAACAAAAAAGCGAGCAATCAACCAAACAACAAACAAGCACCAAACTGGTTCATAGAGAATATGCAATCTCACTCCTGGACGTTTGTATGCAATGTTCTCCCAGTTCAGAATCGAATTCAAGCTGGAGGGAAGCTCGGTGCTATTTGGACGCCAGCCAAACCGTGTCAGGTCTGGCAAGCCCCTGGTTCATGGCACGAAGCCAGCTCTGGCAGTTCATGGCGCAAGTTCATGCGGTGTTGATTCAAGGTCCTCCAGTAGAGAGGTTAGAATAAGGGTACCCGATTTTTCTTTCTGTCGTCTATTTTAGTGGGGGAACCCTCCCCCCACTAAAGGGGAGAGAAGAGCACTACTGGGGGACCTAGTCCAAAGCAAGCATTCCGGAAATTGACCTAAGGGCCGGCGCTTGGCCATCCATCCGCAGGCCTTCGTGCGCATGTTTCATGGCATCATTGGTGGCTAAATCCTGGTCTTTCTTTTGCACTTGCCGGCCTTTCGCCGTGTATCTGTGTTCTTCTATGGTAGACCCTGCAATCACGTTTCTGCCTGGAAATTTGGGGTGAGTGTACTCAAGATAAATTGCCTGCTTTCACATCCAGACAAACATGTTGCCTGAAGCTGGCCCTCTCAGTGAGCAACCCTACGCCGCCCACGGGCCATGTCAAGGGGCAACCTCAAACAAAGAGGAGAAAGGAAAAGCAACCAGGTCTTGCAGACCTCGCCCTTTTCGACTGGAAACGCGGCCGAGCCGCAGCAAACGCCGGCGCAAGCTGCGCGGCAGGCCGGGCAGGCGCTCTCCGGCCGGGGGAGTTCGGCCACCTCCTCGTAGCAGGTGTGGTAGCGGCAGCTGGGCTTGTGCCACCTAGGGCTCCAGTTGGGTGCTTCGTTCTGAGTTGGTACCCACCGTTTTCGGGCTATACCTGGACACGTCTTGAGGGTACCACCGCTTTTGGGGGGCTAAGAAAAACCAGGACAACCACTTGGGGGTATGGAAACTCATACCTAGGTTCGGCTCGGGGATAACTTAACGACTATATAGCTTGGCTAACCCCGAAAAGCATACTTGCGGTTCTCAGTGAGGAATGAGGGGAATTGTGAATGAACCTGGGGATCCCCTAGAGAACCGCTGGTTCAGTCCCTCCTTGGCACAAGCAGGGTACCCTCCCAAAAGAAGCAATTAACGAAGTAAAATGCTTCCGCCGAGGGTGCGGTTCGATCACAGCCGGGAGGTCAATGGAAATTCCGGCTCATTTGGATGCCAAGTTGGATCTAATCTTAAGAGGAATCAGCTGCAACGCGGGCTATCTCAAAAGAACTCAACCAACACTTCGGAGCAATGATCCCACAAGCAAACCACTGCCACTTCCAGTGGGTTCATGACAGTGACATTCTCAGCTGAGCTTGACAAAGACAGCCCAAGACTCGGAAAACGGTCGCGTCTTGAGCCACTTCGTGTCGGTTTTTCCCATCGAGGCCGGTGGCCTGTGAAGCCGAAAGCCCGTTTTCCCCAGTGCTTCCAGCTTCCATAATGCTGAAAGTAGGACCCCGGCAAAAAAATATGTTTTGCCTGGTTAGTGGAAAACAAAGCGAATCCCAAAACAGGAAAAACAAAAACAAAATGGGAAACTCATTCTGGGGAAGATAGCAGTAATTCACCAGGGGAAACTGTGTCAAACCTTGTGAACAAGTACCTCACCAGTGGCAATTGACAGGAAGCACTGGGTACAAAGACACTGGGGACAAACTCCTGGAGCGCGCACAAACTGGGATTTCGTCGAACACGCACATGCACACTGGCCTCGTGCTTCTACCCCCAAGATGCAACCCTCAAGCGCCAGGCTTCAAGACAAATGCTTTGAGAACCCCCGCAGTCAAACTCAAATGGGCCTATGCGTCTCACTGTGTGCTAGCTTGGGGAAAGCCCCCCATGGGTTTGGGATGTGAGGCATGTAGTTTGAAGTGACAAACAAACTGACCCAAACATTTCATCTGAACACCTTCCCTCACTGGCTGAGTGGATGGCCCAAAAAAAGTCCAAACTTTATGTTTACCGCTAAAATGGTCTTCCCAAAAAGTTTACAGCTCATGAACTCAGGAAGTGAGTTCCTAGCATTAGTCACACACACCCACTGATCCGAAGCCCAACGACTGAGCCTTGAGCCCCGGGGGCCGGTTGTCGTGCGCCAGCGGGATGCGGCGATCCACCCCGCAGTCCCAGCAGAACTCGAAGCCGCATTCGCAGGTGACGTGGTCGCACTCCTGCGGCTCAACTTGGGGAGCGTGGCCCTCTCCGTCAGAACCCTTCAAAACTGCCCCAGAGAGAAAGGAGCTGAAAAAACGAAATAATTACCGCAGCGGTATAGTCAATAGCAAACGCGGAGTATGGTTTCGCAAAGGTTCCCAGGAACTGCGTCCTGTTTTTTGTTTGGAGGGGGGGTACAACCGCTGAATGGACAAATTCGCAATTGTGGTCAATAGAAATATAGAACCAATGGTCATGACTATTTGCGTGGGCAATTGTCATGGTCCGACTCCGCAATATAAACTCATGCACTCATGTAATGGTGGTCCACAAACATGTACAAACAATTCGTTCCTTTGACCCTGGCGTGCGATGTATCATCATAGGGTGGGTCGAAATCAGCAGCCCTTGTCGGAGGTCAAAGAACGTCTCCCAAAACACGGGAAAGCCTCGCCCGGACTTTTTTTCGGAGCCAGCGTGCGGGTCGCAAAACCGACACCGTTTCGTTGGCTGTTTTCTTTTTTTTGCCCAGATTCCCCTAGGGTTTAGGTTTAGGGTTTAGCGTTTGGTTGGCTTGTTGGTTGTGTATGGGCTGTTGGGCTGTGGTGAGCTGTTGGGTTGGGCTGCTAGGTTGTCGGGTTTCCAATCCAAAATATTGTCAGTCAAAGACTTCCTTCCTGCCTGAGGGAGGTCCCCGAATTCTGAAAACTCACCACTCAGGGGAAAACATCGTCGGTGCAGATGTCCAGCTGCGGCAACTTCTATTGGCGGGAGGAGGACTGATCATGGCTCCTCAAAATTCATGAAAGTCCGAATTTGCCAAACCAAGGTGAAACCCCTTTCAAATGGTCACTCAAATCTCCAAACACACGGTTTCTCCCAAACTTCCAAACATGTTTCGCAGCGATTCCCCCCCAAACCAACAAAATTCAATCCTGTTCCCCCTAGACGCCATACACGCTTTTGTTGCTTTGCTTTTCCGTCTCCTCCTGGGCCTTGTAGCCACCCCCGTAGCGGCATCTGCGGGGGCAGGGCTTCCATCCCATGGACAGCACCTGGTTCCACACCTCTGACTTCTCCTCATGGATCGAGCCATTTCTGGCAAAGGACACCAGACCCCGTGCTGCCTTCTCTAGCTGACAAACCCAAAGGGGTGTCCAAACATGCGGTTTCTCTTCGGGTTTTGTGTTAAACAAACACCCGAAAGGGGTGTGGAAACAAGTGCTGAGTTGGTGAAAACAGGGATCCGGATGCATTATACACCTCAACATTGCAACCTGTAAATGGTGGTGTCCAACTTTATTTTGGTGTTGAAAAAGCCAGCCATGTTTCAATTGGTTGCAACATGAGTTTCTTTTAAGGAGCCCTGGAGAAACGAAAACCCCCAAGACTCTTCAAAGCACCACTCTGGTGCTACTGAGGCCTTATTCGCAAAACGGTGCCTCCTTTTTGCCTCATAAGGGTTAGTGCCAAAATGGGAGGATTGCCCAGCTCCACTGGGCAGCTCCCCTCAGCAGCTGATGGGAGTAGGATTGATGCCACTCCCACAGCGAGGGAGGAATCCTCCCACCTCACCGGATGCCCTCCCGGCATCATGGGTGAGGAAGGAAAGTAGCGAAGATCAGTGTGATCAATTCGCTTTCGACTGAGGGGAAGACCCGGTTCTCAGTCGGAAATTGCGGGTCCGGATGAGTAAGTTCATCCGCCCACGTGTTAAAGTCGCGCTTCACATGCGACGGCCCCAACATGACCTGCTGGTCATGCAGCGTTAACACAATTTCCATGAGGATGGCCGCATTGGGCATCCTGCGAGTGGAATCGTTAAGCAGGGAGAAAACATTTCCCTGGTTATCACTAGCAACCAGGATCCTAGTGTGAGAAGCCGAGCCGGCTGCACAAAGCAGAACGGCCCTCACCAAAAGGAGGAGGCCGAAGAGCTCCAAGGCCGCTATCGCCCGCTGCGGGTCCCCAGTAGTGAAGGCCCACGGCTCGCCCTCCGGTGTGATTCTGTGCTGGAACCACTTCACACGGGACTTGTCGGGGTTGGGCACGTCCGAGCACCAACCACCAACCCATGCATGGTCTGCCTGTCTGCCAGCTCCCGCATCAGATGCCCCCGTCCATGGGAGCGTGGGAGCAAACGGAGATGCCAGTGGGAACCTCTGGTTGAAGAGTCTCCCCAAAAGGATGGCCAGAGCACGAACCAGCTTCGGTGGCCTGCCCGAAGTGGTGCAGGCCTTCTTCCAGCTCCAAAAGGGCTGGAGGAAAGGTTTCGTCAATGGGCATGCCGAAGTAGCCCATTGAATACGGCCTAGGGCTTGTTCCACCTCCTTGCTGGTGAAGATGTCCCCTGGGCCAGCCGTTTAAGAGTGGCCAGGATTATGACGTGTTTGACTGGAGCCAGCAGTACACAGGGCGTGATTGGGTCCACCACAAAGCCCAACCAGGTATTGATCGGGGAGAGCGCCGTCTTTTTCCAGGAAAGCGGGACTCCCAGCGCCAGCAGTGTAGCCAGGATGGCTGTGGCGTCCCAGTCCGCCCGGCTGCATCTGAGGACCCAGCAGTAGTCGTCCACAAAGACTAAGTGCCAGTCCACCTGAGGGAAGATGTAGTACAAGAGTCTGAGCACCAAGTCAGGGCCCTCGGCACCTGGGAGTGGTCCCTTCCCTGAGGGTGTCGACCTCAGAGAGACGTCCAGGCCGCCGGAGGTATCCATCATCCCCCTGCCCCGATCAGGCCCCTCGGCCCTGGGGGGCAGGCTGGTGCTGTGGGGGTCCCTCTCAGGGCCCTCGGCACCTGGGGACTGCCCCTGCACCGGCTGGTGAACATCCCGAGGTCTCTCCTCAGTGCTCGAGAGCGTGGCTCGAAGTAGATGGGGATGGTCCGTCGCTGTCCTGAGCCAGTGGATGGCGTGGAGGCAGTCTCCAACCATCGGTGCAGTGGTCTTCTCCCCCGTATGAGCCTGGATGTGTGCGTTTGCTCCCCCTTTCGAGCCATCGTAGATCGTCCTGATCTTGTCTGACTCATCAATCCCCGCAAGGGGGCCCGGGCAAAGTTCCTCCGGTTTGCAGCGGCACCTCTCTGCCGCCTCCGACCGAGGTGAAGGGCCCGTCCACCATGTCCAAGGCTCGTTCCTCGTAAAAGGTTGCCTCGATTTCACTGGCAAAGAGTTCAGCCGTTGGGTAGTTATCATGGGCCACCGGCGGGGGGGGGTCTTCCCCCAGCCAGGCTTCTCCCTTAAGCTCCTCCTTAGTTGGCCAAACTCCGGGGGAGGTCAAGGTGGGGTCCGAGACTCCCAAGGGGACCCCCTCTTTCAGTGTCAGGGGGAACTCCCAATCAGGGTCACCTGAAAGGGATGCCAAGTGCGAAACTAGGTCCAGGAGGAAGGGTTGCCCTGGGCATCGTTCATGGAGGTGCCTAGGTCCCAGGATAGCCCGCAGCTCATCGAGGTCGGCTTCCTGGAAGGGGTGTGTGGTGGCACCTGATGCCAGGGACATTCGGACCTTGTCAATCCAGGGCCGGGTAAGGGTCATGATCAGGGCGCCCAAAGTAGCCAAAGGGGAAATTCTCCGAAAGGGGGGGTTGAGCCTCCCCGGGGAAGGTTTCCCCCCCCCATCCCTCAGGGGGCGTGAGCGGAAACCCAATTGGACAATCGCAACTCGGTCAATGAGGCGTGGGACCCTGAAAGCGGGCAGGCATTCGGGGCGGTCCAGGACCTGGTCCCCATGTTCTTCCTTCCCCAGTTGTTCCGCATCTCCGGCCATCGGGGGCATGGGAGATGGGAAGTCTGGGTTCATTGTTCCACGAGGGCTTACGGTGTCTGCCTCAAGGTGGATGTGCCCGTGCTGGCGGGGCTTCGGGGCATTCTTGCCTCCGGGCTTTGGGCCCTGGTGTGATGAGGAGGGACCGCCTCCCTGATTGGGTCCCCGTTTTCCCCGGGGGGAAGGGCCCTCCGGGGGGTCCGACCCCCGCCCCTTAGGTGGTTCCTTAGGGTTTCCCGGGAATTGTGAGGGGATCCGGATGTGCCCCGGCGCTGCGAGTGACACAGCGATGGCTTTGGCCAGGCCTGCCATCATATCCCAAGGGTATCTGCTAAGAGTCGAGGACTCGTTGGTGCCCACATGTGACTGATGCGTGCACCGCATTTGATCCCAGTCCTGGATCGGGAGATCCGTGGCCAGCGTAGTGGCCTTCTTGACCAGCTGGCCCAGGCGGCACTGGTCGAAGGAGATTGCTGTCAAGGAGTTCTCCTCCATCCAAAGCTGCCCCTCCTCTGTGATCCAGAAGGATGAGCATTCCTTGGCTTTGGGCAGCGAGCTGCTCACCACTGGGTCCTCCGGGTGCTCCAAGAAGGACTTTGGCCCTGGCAGAGAAACCGCCGCTCTTGAGGCCCTTGCCAGGCTGGTGATGTACATCTGCCTCAAGATGAGGATACTGTCATCATCAAGCTGAGTCTGGGCGGCCTGGTCCAGGTGTGGGAGGCCCCAAAGTGTCTCTCGAGTGCGCCCTCGCACCGGGGTGGGGGCCCCCGGTTTTGGTATGTGGCGCAGGATGGACCATGTCCTGCAGTCTCGGCCCTGCTTTGCTGCTGTGCAGAGAGCTCCATATAGCTCGGGTTGGAGCATGTCGTGGTTCCCTTTTGGTCCCGATCGTAGGATGTCTACCGCCACCACCATGCTGGAAAGGTGTGGGTAGTTGGCATGAAGACAGCTGTCCAAGGAAGTTGGGTCTTCCTTGCCTGCATAGAGCAGGACAATAATGGGCCCACTGGATGGAACTTTGGGTGATGTGCCCTGTGTCCATCTCAGCCGCTGTACCAAACGCTCCGGGATGTTTTTCCATCCACGGGAAGATGTCCCATCCCGGTGACGGCTCCGTGGGACTTGTCAGGGGGGTAGCTGAAAGGCGCTGGCCCCCTTCATTCAGCCCAACCGAGCTCTTATAAAAAACCACCGGGTCCTGCTTGATGATGTTGGGCGCCGGAAGTGGGATCGGCTGCCTCCTGGGCGTGTTCCTTGGCGTTGCGGTGTGCTGCCAGTTATCCGGCAATCGGGCCTGCTGGGCGCGGCCCCCCGTGTCAGGGCCCTTGGCACCTGCAGGGAACCGTCCCGTCCCTGCCGTTTCAGGGCCCTCGGCACCCGTGGCTCGGGGCTGAGGCGCCGCCGTTGTGCCAGCTGTGTGGTTGTTCTGACCCCAGCGAGGGTGTTGTGCACGCTGGTTCTGCCGTCCCCATCCTTGTTCCGCCGAGGATGGCCGCCACCTGGCCTGTCCCCCCCCTGTGTCAGGGCCCTCGGCACCTGCAGGAGGGGGCTCATGTGCCTGCTTGGGGCGTTTGCGCCCCCTCTCGCCCCCCCGGGCCTTATCAGGGCCCTCGGCACCTGAGGCCTCCCGGGGGGTCGGGGTCAGCGCCCCTAGTCAACCCGGGCAGTCCTGCGGGAGGTGGTCTCCCAGGCAGATGCGGCCCGTTGCCAGGATGAGGTTGCACTTGTGGGTGCGTCCGCAGTTGCCCGGGCAGCGCCCGCGCATCCAGTTGTTACAGAACTGGTTCCCTTTCGGATCGGTGGCCGCCTGCTTGTTACCGCCCCTCGACGCCTGATTGTTCGGCTGGGGGGGCTTACCTTTCCCTTTGCTCCCAGGCTTGCCCCTAGACTTCCCCTTGCCCCTGGACTTGTTCTTGCCCTTCTGGGGTGGTGCGTAGTCCATGGATGTCCTGGTTTGTGGGCGGCCCCTGGAAAAGGTCCTGATCTTCTCATAGACCTCACGTGTCCAAAACAATGTGTCCTGCCTGACCGACAGCATGGCCGCCTTGAGGGTGCTGCCCTCGTGCATCTGCTCGTGAATCTTCCGCCATGCGTTGCGTTCGGCAACTGCCAGGACGTGGTCCTCTGGCGGGGGAAAACGGCCCCCGATGTCCTCCCCATAGAACCACTCGTACCAGCTCTCCAGGTCCTCCCGGGTGATGTCGAACTGGCCGAACTGCGGAAACGAGAGGACGCACATAAGGAGGGTGTTGCGGAACACCGCGTGCATCCTCTCGAGTTGGTGGCGAGTTTTCGGCTCGCCCCGCTCTTCCACCTCG